TTTTCAGAGGGAGAGCAAATTTGGGCAAGGAAGCTCAGCCATGATATCTATGCAAGTAATCACAATTTACTTATTCTACAAATATTTTTTAGTGCTTACACTGTGTCAGACATTGTTCTAGATGCTAAAGATACAGTATTGAATAAAACATACAAAATCTCCTGCTTTCATATAGAATCAATATATTTTGTTTTGTACAGTGAAGAAAACCATCAAGAAAACAAAAAGACAACCTACTGAACGGGAAAAGATATTTGCAAATGACATTTCTGATAAGGAATTAATATCCAAAATATATAAAGAACTTACATAACTCAACACCAAAAAAACCCCCCAAACAATCCAATTAAAAAATGTGCAGAGGACATAAATCGATATTTTTCCAAAGAAGACATATAGAGGGCCAACAGACATGTGAAAACAACAACAACATTACTAACAATCAGGGAAATGCAAACCAAAATCACAGTGAGATATCACCTTATACCTGTCAGAATGGCTAAAATTAAAAAGATAAGAAATAACAAGTGTTGGTGAGGATGTGGAGAAAAAGGAATCCTCGTACACTGTTGGTAGGATGTGAATTGGTGCAGCCACTATGGAAAACAGTATGGAGGTTCCTCAAAAAGTTAAAAAGTAGAACTATCATATGACCTAATAATACCACCCCTGGATATTTACCCAAAAGAAAACAAAAACACTAATTCCAAAAGATATATGCACCCCTATGCTTACTGCAGCATTATTTACAATAGCCAAGATATGGAAGCGACCAAAGTGTTCAATGACATGTGAATGGGCAAGGAAGATGTAATATATACATACTTTGGGATATTACACAGCCATAAAAAAAGATGAGATTGTGCCATTTGTGACAACATGGATGGACCTACAGGGTATTATGCTAAGTGAAATAAATCAAACTGAGAAAGACAAATACCATATGATTTCACTCATATGTGGAATCTAACAAAAAAACAAATGAATAAACAAACAAAAAGCAGAATCAGACTTATAAATACGGAGAACAAACTGATGGTTGCCAGAGGGGAGAGAATGGTGGGGATGGGCCAAATGGGTGAAGGGGAATAGGAGATACAGGCTTCCAGTTATGGAATGAATAAGTCACAGGGATGAGAGGTACAGCATAGAGAATATAGTCAATGATATTATAATAGCACTGCATGGTGACAGATGGTAGCTACGCTTGCGGTGAGCATAGCATCATGTACAAACCTGCGAAATCACTGTGTTGTACAGTTGGAACCTGCTAGCCCAGTTACTAGCTTTGTGACCTTAACAAGTAAGGCCCCAGCTTCAGCAACAGGATAATAATACTAAGTTTATATGGTAAAGTTGAGGACTAAGTAAGATATAATGTTTAAAAAAATTTTTACTCTGAGCTCAGAGTCACAGGGGAGAAGGACACATAAGCATTAGGATAAATTTCCTACACTTAAGGAACCCATATTCTAGGGGCAGAGACAAAATTTAGACAAATGAAACAGGTGCCAACATAACACAAGTGATAATTAGGGGAGAAATGGTGTGACTCAGACTTGGACTATGCTCATTTATGAGAGGATTTATGAGGGTGAAGATAAATGGGAAGTGCTTCCTATTGGGAGAGTACTTATGTCAGAGAGGCAGGATCTGGAGGTAGGGTAAGGTTTAAATTCAGAAAAAAGGGGAGGGCATTCATTCAGTAAATATTTAATATCACCTCTTGAGTACCAGGTATTGTGCTGGGTGCTACTGGGGAATCCTGGGAGATTATGGGGGGGACACTACAGGAAAAAACTACCAGCAAGAATTCTGCCCTCATGGCACTAAACAGAGCATCCAGTACAGATGAGTTCAGATAATGCATTGGGAAACCCTGAAAACACAACAGAATAGACCTGAGGCACTTTAGGGATGGCAGACTTTGGATATCATCTAGTTCAGTGGTTTTGAGGCTAAAGATCACTTGCGAGAGCTTTTTAAAAAGTCCCAGACTCCACACAGGGGATTATGATTCAGTAGGTGTGAGTTAGGGCCCAGGTATGTACAGTTTTTTTAACTGCTCAGACAACTGTGATGGTCACCCTGGTTCGGGGAACACTCATCTAACATAGGCTTGTTTTATAGAAAAGGGAACAAAGCCTAGAGAATTAAATGATTTGGTCAGTGTAATTATATTTGGTGAGGTAAGCAATAAGAAGCTTCTGTGGAATCCTAAAGAGGGGTGGGGCTCAGAGGGAGAAAGGAGGACAATAAAGTGGTATTTACAGGAAACAGACTGGGAAGAGAGGGAGAGGTGCTGACTAGGATGTGATATTAATCCAAGATTGACTGAAACCTGGTGGTGACAAGAAAAGAGATCCATATGAAACTACCTCCTACAGCTTTCCAGGTGTTACCTGTGAAATTCTGTAGCACTCTTCATACCCTACTGCAGCTATAACACAGTAAGCATTGCTACTTAGAGTGGGAAATGGGGTCTTCCAACCAGTAGCAATGGCATCATCACCTGGAAATCTGTTAGGCAGAATCCAGGGCTCCTCCCCAGCCCTACAGAATCATAATCTGTATTTTAATAAGATCCCAGGCGTTCCAAATGCACACTAAAGTTTGAGAAGCACTGCTCTAAAGGGCTTCCTATTCTTTAGAATGAGAGCAACATTAAAATAAATAGGAAATAGATAAAGGTAAACAATTTGCGATTTCAAGCATAGGGTGGAGTTGGCTTAATGAACTGAGGTAGACTCGCCAAAGTCACTTTTAGCTACCGGATACACTGTATCTCAAGTGTTCCAAGAGTTCTAAGAATCTTTCCTCCACTGGTCTGAGGCAAAAGTCTAAAAGTTTATCAGTTTAATGATGGCAAAGACTGCTAGACCCCACTTGAGTAAAGAAACTGAGTAACTGTTAACTTCTCATGGCCTTAGGGTCCTCATTTGTAAAAATAACCAAACAAAACCCAAAAATGCTGAATGATCATTTCTCCCAGCTCTAAAAAGTTTTTATTTCATTTCTTTTGAGAGAAACTGCCTTCTTCTGCTCCAGTAATTTAAAAAATATTAATGCTTCTACAAATAGTTATTAATAAGCTAAGAACTCTAATAGAAATCGATTTCTTCCTGGATGACAATCCAAGGCTCTGTAAGGACGGGTAATAATGAAAGAAGAGGAAAAAAGAAAGAGAAGGGAGAAAATACACACACATTCACACCAGGTTTACTTGTTTTGCTTTACTTGATAGGTTGTAGACTATCTTGGCAATGGCTTGTTGAAAGTTACTTCCATTTTTTTCTTTTTAACCCGTACTAGCCTACCTCATATAACCTTGCCACCGCCCCTACCCTTCGGCTCTCGTCCCCCCCGCCCCCTTTTTTACACTGAGTGAAGGAACAAGGAGAGCCGTCAGATACCAAATTCACCTACTTCTCAGTCGTGCTGTGTCTGGGAGAATGGCGGTAGAGTTGAGACCCCCTGTAGCCTTGCGAGTGGAGAGCTGCTGTTCCTGAAAGTCCTTCTCCCCGTCAGATTGGAATACTTCCACAAAACTGATTAGGTCAATTCCCCTAGCATTCCGCTCCTCCTCGTGAAAAGTGTTGTTGCTCCGCAGGTTACTACAGTGTAAATGTCACACGGTACTCAGAGAGCTCAACCTTATTCCCAAAGAAGAGGTCCCCAGTCACCTGGCCACTCCCAAGGAACTCTCCAAGGTTCCAGGATGTGGACGTAGGAGACAGGGTTCCTGACGCAGCCTGAGACTAGCAAAACCTCAACAGGAATTCCCATAGTGACCCCACGCCATCAAGTGTGAGGAGGCAGGGCAGGATTCCTCCATAGTATTCACGTTTTAGGGTTTGATCAGTACTCTCTAGGGAGGAGCAATGGAACCCTAGCATGTCAACGACTTGGAGTTTCTAAACACCTCCGCCACCAGTGGAGATCCAGCCGAGGGTTCCGAAGTGAAATACCTCAACAGACCGACTTGGAAGAATTAATATTGTATTCATAATAAAGGTAAACTCAAAACCAGATACAAGTACAGTCAAATATATAAGGTTTGTTCTTTCTCGATTCATTCCGACTCCATCACCAGCTTCCGATTTCATATGAAAACGAGGCTAATTTCTAATTTTAACAGCGTTTTCCTCCCCTCTAGGTGCAGGTTTTAAAATAGCAGCAAATTTAAACACGAGAGAATTTAGGCCTATATCAAGAACATCACTTGATAACAGGTATCTACATATAAGCCCAGTGCAAACAAAATGGTCATCAACTCCATTTTTTTTCCCCCCACTAAAAACGCTTCATTGCCTCCCAGACCTTCGTGGTCACACTTTCCGAAGAAGAGCGGCAAAACCTCGCGTACTCTGTTTAGAGAGACGCTCCGGGAGAAGCTCGCGCCACAAGTCCCCGGACAGGTTGGCTGACGACAGCCAACCCCTCCCTCAGGCGGCGCAGTTCTCGAAGGCCTCAGCTCCGCGCCTGGAACCTCGGTCCCGCGGGTTCCGATCGTTTCCATTCCGGCCCCCATTTCCGCTCTTGATGCCCCCAGTGCTCGTCCCTGTCCCCAGATCTCAACGTCCCCCCCCCCCCCCCCACTTCCCAAAGCACAGACACCCGTCCGTACCTGCGCTTCCTCGTCCTCCGTCACCACCCCCACCACCGGGATGTGGCGGGTGCTCCTGGGCCTGATCTTGCCTCCGGGTTCCTGGACCTCGGCCGTCGCACCGGCCCCCGCTGTCCACATGGCTGCAGCGGCGGAGTGAGGGATGGAAGGGAGGGTGCTTCTGTCCTACCCTGTTCCCGTTAGCCGCAGGACCCAAAGAGACCCCGCCACCGAAAAGGGAAGGCCGCCTGAGAGCCGCTACAGTCGCGAAAAGCCCCGGGGGTCCGACAGCGGCCCCGGCCACCGCGACGCCAGCCGCATCACCCCGCCGCAGCCCACCGGCCGACTTTGGCTCTAGCGGGCCGGCCGGTTGTTAACAAGCCAGCGCGTTGCTAGGGGCGGGGCCGGGGCTGCAGAGGCGCCGGCTCTTACGGAAGCCCGGGGAGCCAAACTACCCCAAACCCTAACGTGTGTCTTCACGCTCGCGGTGGCTGGGTTTGCTCGCGCGCGGGAAGGAGGCAGTAGAAGACTTCGGTACGTAGTAGTGGAGTGTTACCTTGGCGTTACGTGTCTCAGTCTTGCTAGTTTGCGCTGGGCCTTCTTAAATCTCCCCTGCTAGAACCTCCAAACAAGCTCTCAAGGGCCTTCTTAAATCAATCATGAGTGGGTGGAGAAATGAGAGGTGGATGTCGGACACGAGAGTGATGGATGATGGATAGATACATAGTGGTAGAAGCGGAGCAGTTTATCGTCGCGGAGAAGTGACCAGTGTCACCGACATTCCCTGCCTTTTATCTCTTTTGTACTTTAGTGGCTCTACCAGACAGTTAAATAACAAACAAGGTATTGTACACAGTGTTACAGGCTTTTGAGTCAAATCATGGAATCTAGAGCAAATTAACACAAGGAAGCCCCACTTTCCCCATCTTTTCGCGTCAGTTTTTCACTTTTCTTACCAGTAGGATTGCTGTGAGAGGGTAGTATGAGATGGTAGTTTTGTAAAGCGGTGCTTGGCATTTAATAAGTACTCAGGTAAATGGTCAGGATTATCTTTATCTTTATTATTGTGTTATCTATCCATCGTATCCTGAGTAATGACACAAGAAAGGTCAAGACTTTAATGGAAAGCTGCTCATGATAATCACCAGTATAACTTAATCACCCCCAAAGCCGTGGCTATGAAAACATATCTTAAAATCCTTTAAACCTTTCAGTCTTTTTTTTTTTTAGCCTTCGGAAACTCTTCAAGATTTAAACGTGAATTTTTATATTGTCTATAAAGTTTATAGCCTTAAAAATTACACGTAACAAACTTCGTGAAAATTTCACTTCACCTCCCAGCATTTCTCTCATTTGTAGAATGAGCTGGTTGGTCGGTGATTTCTAAGGTTCCTTAACCGGTTCAAACATCCGACATTTGACTGAATGACATTTCTGGTGGTACAAATAAAAAGAAACAGAAAAACTAGATTGGGCATGGAAGCACTTGATGTAAATCATAGCCAAAGGAACCAAGCTTTTTTGAAAGAGAATTGAGCATTTCTAGTAACTATTTCCTCACTTATGTTTATTCTTCCACTTTCCTCATCCTAGGTTCCTTGAAACTGCCCTGAGGTCACCTACACTGTGGTCAAGGTCTGTGGACACTTTCCTGTCCTCATCTTGCTGTACTTAATCTCTAGTATTTTACCCTATTGACCACTCTCCCCTCCTTGTAACTCCCTTGCCTCGACTTCAGCATTCTTTTTTTCTTTTATCTTTACAGCTACTCATTGGTATTTTTAGAGCTCCTCTCAGACCTTACAACTAGAGGTGGGTTCAGTAGGTCTAAGGTTGCTATTACTCCAGGAGAGTGTAAAGGGTGTGTCAAGTGTATTAACGTCAGCTGAATTGCTGTTGCACATTCTGAGTATACCACATCAAAAGGAGAGACTGAAATCACTTGAATAAACACAATGGAATTCTGTGAGAATGGCACCCAAATATAGTATAGTAATGGAGAGCTGACAACTGGATGATTTGGTTATCCTTTGTGTGTTGAGCCTGGCATCTCAGAAGGAAAGATGCAGAGGAGGGACTGTGAAGAAAAATTTTCCACTTAAAGCAGAGCTTATTTGGTGGTTATCAACTGACTATTGTGTTTCAGCACAATAGGCTGATTCTGATAAGGGTCCATAAACCTCAGTGACTGGAAAGTGACACTGTCCTCATTGGACTTAATTGCACTTTCCTGACACACAAGCACAAGGATATTTACTTTACTTCAATTGTTTACAAACCTGTATATTCATTCTGTCCTATATCCAGAGCACCAGTTTCCAATGCTTAATTAGCATAACTCCCATGAGCTTCCCCTTTCTAGCACTTAAAAACTCTTCTCCGTCTCAGTGAAATCAGTGAAATTCTTCATAGAAATGGGTTGCCTTACCTGGGAAGTTAAAAGATCCCAATTTTGTGTTTTTTTGTTTTTTTTGTTTTTAGCTCTAATGGTATTTGTTTTACTCTGAGAGTGAGAGGCAACCAGGTGAGAAGCAACCAACACTCCACATTCAAGCCATCTTGAATGAATTATTTGTTGTTTTACAAAGCTACCAAGCTTCTTCCTGCCTTACCTTTGCATATGTTGTACATGGGACTGTCTGCAGATGTTTAGCTCTCTATGAAACTCAGCTCATGTGACTTTGGGGGGGGAACCTTCTTTACATCCTCTGTTAGATGCCACTTTGTCATATGGTTTTGTACTCACCACATACTTAGTGGTATTTATTGACTCAGCTGCCCAACCCCTTCCTACTAGAGACTTTTGAAAGCAAGGAGAACCTCTTATCCAGATTTGCACCCCAAACCCTCAGCACAGTATCTAGGGTAGTGTTTCTCAAAATTTAGCATGCATCAGAATCATCTGGAAAGCTAATTAAAACCAACACCTGAGCCCCACCTCCAGAGTCAGCTTCAGTTAAGTCTGGGGTCCAAGGGTTTGCACGTGTAACAAGTTACTGGGTGATGTTTTGCTCCTGGTCTGGCGAATGGTGCTCAGTAAATGTTCATTAAATTATAAATTCGTTTTTAAATTTGATTTGAAGCCAAATTAAAGCATTTCATAAGCTATCCAGAGTAAGGTAAACACGAAGTCCTTGTTACTCAAAATGGGGTCCTTGAACTACCTACCTACATAGGCATTACCTAGGTGCTTGTTAGGGATTTGTAAGTTCTGGCCCCAGGAGAGACTAAGTGAAGCAGAATCTCCATTTTAACTAGATTGTCAGGTGATTAGTATGCACATTAAAATTGAGAAGCACTGGTCTAGTGTGTATGTGCTTGTGTTTTCATTAGTATTATTTTGGAGTTTTTTTTTAAGATTTTAATTATCTATTTGAGAGAGAGACAGAGCATAAGTGGGGTTTAGAGGGAGAGGGAGAAGCACACACTCCACCGAGTGGGGAGCCCTTCATGGGGCTCGGTCCCACGACCCGGAGATCATAACTTGAGCCAAAAGCAGATGCCCAACCGACTTAACTTTTTGGTAAGTGCACCAATTAAGCTTTTAAAAAGCTTTCAGTGGGGGCACCTGGTGGCTCAGTTGGTTAAGTGACTCTTGGTTTTAGCTCAGGTCATGATCTTGTGGTTGTGGGATGGAGCTCCACGTTGGGCTTTGTGCTACTGTGGAGTCTGCTTCAGATTCTCTCTCCCTCTTCCTCTCTCTCACTTTCTCTCAGGTTCTCTCTCCCTCTTCCTCTCCCTCCCTCTCAAATGAATAAAATCTTAAAAAAAAAAGCCTTAAGTGTTTAAATTAGGTAGTGGATTTAAGTTTAATCATTATTCATGGAACCTTCTTTAATACAGATTTCTGAAGGCTCTAAGTCAAGAGCACAGGACATTTTCCAGACACCAGAACACAAAAGGACGTAAAGGTAAAATGGCTAACTACTGAAATGGTAAATTATTTCAACAAAAAGATAATAGTAAAGAAACATATGAGAATTAAAATTAGAGAATAGAAATGCTTCACTCTGATAACAATTTTGTAGAATTTAACATCTTTGTTAAGTTAAAATTGCAATTTCTTAAAAGCTGTAGATTGAAGATTAGACATTTTAATGATATGTTGACGTATATACATTTATTTTTTATTTTATTTAAATTCAGTTAGCCAACATATTACATCATGAGTTCCAGATTTTTAACTTTTAAAATAAAGTATATTTTTAACATAAGTGTAATATTAAGAAATAACATTGTCCTTCTGATATTTTTTCTGTTACTTGTTTGCACCTAATTAGCAATGTTTAGTAAAATTATAATTATGCATTAGTACAACTTAAGAATGTTTCTATTAAGTATTTTAGATTACATATGAATTTTGTAGTCTCTAAACTCATGCCAGATGTTCCAAATGTTCAAGCAAATGTTATTCCTTTGTGAGTCAGAGTAATCTATTTTAAACAGAGAATTTTTATAGCACTTAAGAAAATGTAATTAGAGTATAGTCTTAGTAGATTAGCTTTAGGGGAATTATGTAACAGGAAGAACAATATAAAGCTGGAATTTCATCTACTTTAGTGTTTTAAAAAATCTTTCAGGTTGATTGTTACAGAAACAAAGCCTAAGAGAGAAAGAAAAGTAATTGCTTCTTTCCAACAGAATCATTAGTTCAAATCTGGGAGTAAGAAGTACATGCAACAGAAAACAAAAGTAAAAGAACAGCCACCTCTGAAGTCAACCATTCTAATAAAAAATGTACTAATAATCCAAATTGCAAGTGATTTTTTAAACAGGAATGTGGAGGAGCTATTCATGCTTAAAGGAGAAACTAAATCAATGGTAATATGTAAATGAAACAAATTTATGGAGCACTTCTTACCTGATCAAAGCTTCAGTCCCACGACATAGGAATATTCCATGAAATGAAAATGCTCTCAAGCTTTTAAAACTAAAAACTATTGTATTTACATGGTGGGAGGTTAGAGGTAGTACCCCCAGGATAGAACTGTCTTTATTGTGGAGCAGGATTAAACAGATAAGTTTATTCCAATAACATTAATTATTCAAGGTCTATAACTGACTTGACCTGCTCTGATTCCATATCTATATTAATTTGCTAGGGGTGCCAAAATAAATACCACAGACTAGGTGGCTTACACAACAGAAATTTTATTTCCTCACAATCTGGAGGCTAGAACTCCATGATTAAAATGTCCAAGATTGGTTTCATTCTTGAGGCCTCTCTCCTTGGCTTATAGATGGCCATTTTCTCCTTTTGTCATAACACGGTCTTCCCTCTCTGTCTTTATCTCCTCTTCTTTTAAGGACGCCAGTCATCCTTGGATTAGGGCCTACCCATATGAACTCATTTTAACTTAATTACCTCTTTAAAGGCCCTATGAATTAATATGAATTCTAGGGAGATATAATTCAGTCTGTAACAAATCCCAGCATACTTTGGTTTATAATATAAATTCTTATAAAGAACAAATTAAAGAATATAATATGCTTAGTTAAGGCAACACTGCTATCCTTACCTGTAGGACATTGATTATTTCTCACAGTGGTGATAAACGGCTATTCTGATTTAACAATCACTGTACATTTGATCAACGTGAATCTGCCCTTGGGAGATGTATCCACTCTGAGCTCTCAACCGATCTGAATTTTGAGCCTGAGTGCCTGACTTTGTCAAAATCATCATTTATGTCATGTTTCATTTTCTATTTGAAGAATCCACTACCAAAGTTAATTTGCCAGCCTAGGTTCCCTAGAGCCTACCATAAACAAATGACAAACATTTACCTGCTGCCACTTTAATGGGTGGCACTCTCTCTGGGAAGCAGGTCAGGAAAAGGTAGAAGTGGAGGCTGGCAAATATAGGTGTTACTGAGCTGGCCATAGCTTTGGAACAAATGCAGTTTAATTGCTTAGTCTTTTATGATATTTTCATGGAGGCCTTAAGAATTACTGCACTAAGGAACAGCTTATCTGGGGAAAAGGAAGGGAGAATTTATGCACCAGCTCCCTCTTGTGCTACATCTCTTTGGTCAAAGATAACCCTCAGGTCGTGTTGCCAGATTTAGCAAACACAAACAAAAAAAGTCCCATGCAATATTTGTAATAGAATTACATAAAAAATTATTCATTGTTTGTCTGCATTTCATAATAACTGAGTGTCCTGTATTTTACCTGGCAACTCTACTCTCAGGACATTAACACCCATGCATTTCCTGGCAGCTGCAGGGCAAGCTAGAGCTTCCCCAGACCCATGCACAGGCACCAATGTCCGTTTCTCCTCAACACAGTGTTAAGACGGTGGTGATGGTGGCCAGCAGGCAAGGCAAGAGGTAGAGACAATGATGGGGAGGGGTGTGGGCAGGAGGATGCAGGCACAGCCGCATGAAGGTAGGGTGATAAATAACATAATTTTCTCTAAAGATGAGTCAGCATTATCTCATTAGTATCTGTGGAATCATCCTGCATTAGACACTGGGAATATACTCGTGAATAAGATACAGTTTTTTGCTATCAGGGAGCTTAGAAAATATAGCTTGACTATTATATGTTGAGCCCTGGTTTAAAGATACTTAATGAATGCTAGTAAAATGAAATAAATTTTTTTTTTTAAAGATTTTATTTATTTATTTGACACAGAGAGACACAGCAAGAGAGGGAACACAAGCAGGGGGAGTGGGAGAGGGAGAAGCAGGCTTCCCGCGGAGCAGGGAGTCTGATGCAGGGCTCGATCCCAGGTCCCTGGGATCATGACCTGAGCCGAAGGCAGATGCTTAACCGACTGAGCCACCCAGGTGCCCCGAAATAAAATTTTTTAAAGTCTTTATTTTTAAGTACTCTCTGAACCCAATGTGGGGCTCAAGCTTACAATCCCGAGATTAAGAGTTGCATGCTCCACGGACTAAGCCAGCCAGGTGCCCCTGAAATAATTTTTAAAATATTACCTCATTCGGTGGGTATTTTCCTAAATGACTATCTTGGCAAAAACAAACAAAGAAAACCTCCAAAACCCCAAAACTATTACATGTATTGCTTTCTAGATACTTCTACAAAGAAATAGATGGTCTCCATCAAATATTGAAATTATTATTCAGTAAGAAAGAAAAATCCATTTGTATATAACATTTCAAAAAAGAAGTTAAAACACATTAAATAACACTTTTTATTTAGATGTTCATAAGGCATATCTATGAGAATGATATAAAAACATGGCATGTAATTTGATAGCAATATTTTGGAGATTACAGAGTTTTAACAAATACCCATTACACAGTTATAAAGAAGATGGTATTTTTCCAAGCAGATACAAAATATCTAATGAAAGATCAAGGCAAGAAAATGAGTATAATTAACAGTGGAAAATCAATTCTAATGTGAATCGCACATTATCCTTTAAAAACTTTTAAAGGTAAGATTTACTGCAATCTAGTTCATTCAAACAGTGTTAAACAGTATCACGACAAAGAACTGAAGGCCAGAATGGATTTGTTTTGACTTCATATAAAGAAACCCAAATATACAGCAGGTCAAATATAGGAAAAGGGAGTCGAATAGTGAAGGAGTCAAGATCTTTCTAGTTTCTAACTGGCATTCCTTCCGGTGTGGCCTTGGTCCTCTTGGACATTTGCCAGGCCTCCTGTTGTATCCACAATTCCGGCAGCAAGATGGAGGAATGAGATAAAGAACACATGCTGCTTTTCTTTGAAGAGACTTCTAAGAAGTTACTCATACGTCCCCCTACATCTCACTGGCCAACCCTCAGTCCCATTGGGACACCTAACTGCAAGGGCAGTTGAGTAATGTGATGGGCAGCAGCTTTTCAAGAAGTAGGGTAACCAGACATTGGGAGACAACCTCCAGTTCCTCTGCAGGCTGGATACCTGCAAAGCTATGAAGGACCTTCAAGGAAAATCTTAAGAGGATACTTCCTTGAAGCTGGCAATTGGAAAATCATACAAAAGCACCTGTTTTGGTGATTTCATTTAGCCTATCCAGCCACTGGGAGAATCCTATATGTATAGCCTGCCCTAATTTTGGATGACTGCATGATGGAAGGCCAATGATGTGGAAAATTAAAAAAATAGCAGTATGTATGTGTGTTAGGCTGAACTAAATATTGTTTTGGACAGAATCTCTGAATATTAGCACTTTATAATTTTCTTGCATTAAAAAAATTGAAGAACCCATTCATTCCTGTAAAATTCACTGTTCAAAGGTAAGAACAGGCTGTGTTTCCACGAAAATCAGTACAGGTTCATTTAGAGCAATTACATATACTGAATATTTACCAGAATTTGTTTTACTGACTTATGAACAATTGAGGGTAGAGCATCTATCTCCTTTTCATGACAACACATCACAAGTAGAAATCATAACACGACTGAGACATGTTATACTATGTGTAGCAATACTTTAGATCAGGAATTCACAAAATAATTTCAACACCAAATTTTAGGCTGTTTGAATACTTATTTCAAAACAGATTCTACAGACACAGGTTCAGTGTTTAAAGTATTCCTAAAGAAATAGTTATGAGTTACATTTATGGGTACTTCATTTAAAATATCACATAAGAAACCTGCCATTTCACAAATAAACCTCTATTTGGGGGCAAAACTCTTCGTACAGAATTTATTATGAAACAGTTTAATGGCAAAAGGCAATTAAAAACAATTAAAATTTTATCATGTAAGAGATAAACAATACAAAAATCGGATATGATATATTCTTTTTTTTTAAAGATTTTATTTATTTATTTGAGAGAGAGAATGAGAGAGAGAGAGAGAGAGAGAGAGCACATGAGAGGGGGGAGGGTCAGAGGGAGAAGCAGACTTCCTGCCGAGCAGGGAGCCCGATGCGGGACTCGATCCCGGGACTCCAGGATCATGACCTGAGCCGAAGGCAGTCGCCCAACCAACTGAGCCACCCAGGCGCCCCGGATATGATATATTCTTGAAGCCCTTTTACACAAATAATTTTCATAATTTGTAAGTATGAATATACCTTAAATTACTATTATCAAATTAATTTTGAAAGTAAAATTCCTTAATCAAGTCAAGATTAGGCTAATTTATAAGAAATTAATCAGGTAGCTTAATACTGGAGCTCACTAGCCAATCTTGTATGTAGCACAAAATAATTATCTCCAATAAATACCTATAAATATAATTTCTTCATACTTTAAAATATTTTAAAATTTAAATAAAAATCTCTACATGTAGACAATCTGGGCTAAATTTCCATATATGCTTTGAAAAATATATGTTAGCATGAATATAATCTTATTTAAACATGGTTTTAAATATTCTTAATAGAGGAGACATATGAAATCTGCACACAAACGCTAAATAGCATGATTCAGCCCATGATTATTTTCCTCTTAGGAAAAAATTACTTAGTTTTTTTGCATAGGATTAAGACTGGGTATATTTTCTACATTCTTATAATTTTCTCAGGGGCACTTCTCAAAATACACATCAGGAAACAAACCGCACTACTTGAGTTCCCACCACTTTCTCATACCTAGCAAGAGCAGAATTCCGTCCTACTTCTGAGGCCAGAGTAATGACTTAAAAAAAAGTGATTATGAGAAATAATGAGTAAGAAAAATAATCTGGTAGAAAATGGTAAAATAAAGCAATTAAAAGTCAATTAAATAAACAAAAGTCAATATTTCTGTATTTTTAGAAAGGCTTTTAAACATTTAGAATTATAATGAATATATTACATTTATTCTAAAACTTCAAAATTATTTCATCTTTGTAGTACTAAAAAGGAGATATTATCATTTGAAACAAAAGCTACATCCTATATACATTTTCATAAATTTTGTTTTTATTTTCACATTTTCAAAGGCCCCATTTATCTGTAGTAGTGATAATGTTATTTATAAATGATTATTTTTTTTTAAAGATTTTATTTATTTATGAGAGAGAGAATGAGAGAGAGAGAGCATATGAGAGGGGGGAGGGTCAGAGGGAGAAGCAGACTCCCTGCCGAGCAGGGAGCCCGATATGGGACTCGATCCCGGGACTCCAAGATCATGACCTGAGCGGAAGGCAGTCACTTAACCAACTGAGCCACCTAGACGCCCTTGATAATGTTATTTATATTATTGGCTACTTAATATACACATGCAACAATATAATTCAATAGTCATCTAACTTTTAAGAATATTTCATTGTATTTTTACATTAACTGGTGAAAGCATGGTCTTGAGAGTGAAACTTGAGGAGCAAATATTGAAAATATGCTGTTAATTTCAGTAATGCCCTACAACAGTTTATGGGTATTTCCCTTTAAAAGTTATCACCCAACTGAATTCTACTAAGAACTAGCAAGTAAGTGATTATCAAGAGGGAAAGAACAGAATTAAAATAAAGAAAATGGAGAGCTCAATTAAGAAGTACAAGATACTTAAAATTCACTGAGAACACCAGAGAATCATGAGTGATTTACCAAATTGACAGGGTGCAGCAGTAGGGAAAGAGCCAATGGTGGGAAAGGTAGCTTCCACTAAATAAAACTCCTTCTATGGATGCCTGGGTGGCTCACTTGGTTAAGTGTCCGACTCCTGATCTTGGCTCAGGTCGTGAGATCAAGCCCCCCAATTGGCCCCTGGGTGTGCAGCCAGCTTAAGATTCTCTCTCTCCCTCTGCCCCCACACCAAAACTCCTTTTATTGTGGCTGCATTCAGTAGTACCTCAGTGGGTAAGTTTAGAAAAGTTATAATTTCAGGCTGTATAATTACATAATGCATACTTGTATCTTATCTGCAACTTTCTAGTTTAATAAGGAAAGAACAAATGGGAAAAAAATGTTGGGCATTCTAATCAAGGTTTGAACAAAATGCAGTTTTAATGTGGAATGTCAGCACTAAAAAATTTTATGAATAATATGTATGATTATTATATCTCTAGAGTAGATTTATAATTAACCACTTTTCTTTTTTTTAAAAAAATATTTTATTTATTTATTTGATGAGAGACACAGTGAGAGAGGGAACACAAGCAGGGGGAGTGGGACAGGGAGAAGCAGGCCTCCCGCGGAGCAGGGAGCCTGATGTGGGGCTCAATCCCAGGACCCTGGGATCATGACCTGAGCAGAAGGCAGACGCTTAATGACTGAGCCACCCAGGTGCCCCTAACCACTTTTCTTAATATCCTTAATGCTTGCAAACTGGTCCCTACTGAACGGTTGAACAGGCAGGAGGACTTCTCTGGAAGAGAAAAAACTCTACAGGGATTTTTAAAGATTCTATAGGACCTCAGCCATTCATTAAAACTGCTATGGTCCTATCTCTCCTAGAGTCCCTCACTGCATAGGGAATCGTATTGGACCGCCATGGGTCTCCAAGGTCATGTCCCAGGCAAGATCCTCTTGCAAGGTAAGGAACTGTAGTTTATCCCACAAGCAATCATAAATATATGATTGTAATATTTTCATAAATTTTTGATACCCACAACACACTGTAAAGAATGTCAATGCCTTTACTGACCAAAGAGGAAGCATCCAGATTGGCATCATGGTAATGCATGGGGACGGAGCAGGGACCATCAGCCTGGCGGTTAAAACTGGAGCCTCTGAAATAGGACTGCCTCGACTTGAATGCTGGCTCTGCCTCTTACTAACTGCATGACCTTGGGCAAATTACTCTTCTAACTTCTGTTTTCTCATACGTAAAATAAGGATAGTAACTACCTCTGTCGTGGACTTGTTGTAAATATCAACATGGGATAATATAAGTAAAGTGCTTAGAACAGTGCCTGGCATGTTACCATCCCTCAGTGAACGTCAGTAAAATCTTATAGCAGATAAAAGTGGGGTCTGACCAACGTGCAACAACATAGATCAGCTGACAAACAACTATTGGTGGGTAAATTTCACACCTTCCCTTTAAGTGGAAACAACTGTAAGATTCCCAGGCTTGGTACCTTATTAGAAAAATCACTTTTGGAAGCCAAATATCATGGTCTTCTCCCTAACTAACATAATAACAGGCAAATGAAACTGCTCTGTAACAAGATAAGGAATAAAATCTTTCATGAGGTACATATTATCAGTATGCATTTCATGTCTCCATTGCATTTCAACTATAATTTCAGATTCGATTTTTTTTTTAATTTGTGTTTGTTCACAGATCACACTGGTTCATATAATTAATTACATTCTTCAAAATCGATCTTATGAGAAAAATATAGGAATGTTACCATTTACCCTTACCTAGATGCTAATGTAATGTGACCTTTCTTAAAGTTAATGTGTGATTATGCATTTCTATTTCTTGAGCTGGATAACAATGAAAACCTTAGGTAAGCTTCAGAAAAAAAAAAAAACACATATCCATTAAATTATACTAAAACTTAAAATTCTGCTGGTTTTTTTAACATTATGTTGTATCTATATTATTAACCAGAAATATCTTTGCCTGATTATGGAATACAGTTTGTTAAAATAACAAGAGTGTTATGGTTGTGCAAAACAAAATGGACAAGTTGACAACAAAAATTCATATTGCCAAAATACGACATCTGTGAAAATTAATTTCAAGAAACTCCTACCACTAATTTGGTTGAGATCTTACTGGACAGATTTCAGCCCACATCAATTTGACAGTGCACTTGCAAATGACATAAAGAAAGTCATAAAAACAATGGCATGAGTGGAACTCTACATGGCATCAATGAAGCACCATTTATCATCACATTACTGTAACCCTCTCCGGTGAGAGATGAGGGACTGCTCCTCCAATACCTTCTTCTAGAAATTGGCTCTTTTCCCAGCCTTTTTTAATTCTCTTTAGCTTTCGGCTTACACATGGAAGGAGTAAAATGATCTTACCCAGAATTACAATTGAGGGCAAAACAAGAGCAAGAACGAAGTTTGGTGGGGTGTAAAACCGGTAGTACTCTTCTTCAAAAGCTCGTTTCCATCCATAAATTAAAACATGGAAAGTACTTATGAGCAGAGCGACATATCCAAGTGTAGACTTGGGTAGAGGAGGAAGAAAAAGAAACAGAGAATAAGGAACAAATTATTCAAACTCATAAATTAACCTGTCCAGCTACACCATACTTACAGTGTGCTAAAACTATTTTATCTTAAATTATTGTGCTACTCTTTGTTCTCTATTGAATTAAACAATTTTAATATTTCCATAAATTTCATATATATTTATTTATGTGTTTGCACATCTTATTTTATACAAATAAAGCCACACTGCATATAGTTTAATACTGATTATTATATCAAGAACCTTTTCCTCATGTCATTAAATATGAAAACATGACTCAAATGCTATATAATATTCTATTGAATGGATGTGTTATAAATTAATCATTCCTTTTTTGTTGATCATTTACTGTTTCCAACTTTCCTCCACTATAAGCCCTTTTCTGTATTTTGGTTTATTTCCTTAGAACTTATTTCTAATAGGGGGATTACTGGTCAAAACATCTGGGTTTTCCTTAAGAGTACTGATGAAAACTGCAGAACTTCTTTACAAAGGTTATCCACATTTCCACCAGTTATGTGTATTAAAAAATATGTGTATATATATGTATATATATTCACATATATATACATATATAATAAAATTAAGTGCTGAAAAGCATTCTCATTGGGTATACACTCCCCCCACACCCTGCCCCACATATATATACTAGCTGGAGGTAAATATGAAAAATCTTATAGTATTAGCATGTAATATGAATAACATTTCAAACATGTGGTTTTATTGACCACATTAAATGAAATTATTAAGAGTACTTCCATTAAGCGGTTCATAGGTGAAAATCTAAAAGGTCAGGATTCTGGGCTCCCTAAATTACTACGTTTGATTGCTTACTTTGAGAAATGGTCTCTGTAACATCACATCAGTCTAATGATGTAATGTCTAACTTCACTGGGAAAGGATCAACTCTCTAGCAGAAAGCTGTTCTGTTTTACAGTTACTCATCTCAATTTAATGATCACTTGCACCCATCTTTTTTTTTTTTAAGAATTTTTTTTTTTTTAAGATTTTATTTATTTATTTGAGAGAGAGAGAGAGAGAGCACATGAGAGGGGGAGGGCCAGAGGGAGAAGCAGACTCCCCGCCGAGCAGGGAGCCCGATGTGGGACTCGATCCTGGGACTCCAGGATCATGACCTGAGCCGAAGGCAGTCGCTTAACCAACTGAGCCACCCAGGCGCCCCCACTTGCACCCATCTAACACCTTTTATCAGAGGGCCTTCTATTTCTATTCAGGTGTGATTAAACTGACAGTTGGAAAACTATTTATGTTTTCTTTCCTTCAAAAAGGAAAAATGAATTCAGATAGGGAGATGCCCTTAACTTGAATGAGCTCTTTAGATGACTTGGGGAAAAAAAAAAAAAAGCTCAAGCACATAGACAAACAAAACAAAACAGAATTGAGTGTACCACCAAATGAGAGTCACCCACATATTGTGCTATAAACTATTTGGATACAACCAATACTGACTTTGTGATAATATAGGTGGGGTCTAAATTTGAGTTACATATTTTATAAATATGTACATTTATTAAGTAACTCTTATTGGAGAAGGTGAATGTTTATTAAAGAACACAGAGCCGTTTTGAAACCCTTTTGTATATACTCACAGACACATATATACAACTAACACACGAAATACATATACGAACAGGATTCATAAGGGTGGTTGCTTGTTGCAATCCATCAGCCCAGTCACCTAATCTGCCACTATTTGTGTCTGTGTGTTTACACACACATTTCTTTTACAATATTCAGACTGACCTCCCCACTTGAATTCAAATTAATGATATTTTTCTAGACGGATCAGAGTGACTCAAAATATAAAGAAATTCTTCACTCATTGGTCAAGTAACAAACTGACTTTTGGCACTGAACTTGATCTAAGCTTACCCATCCCCCACCTTCATTTTTTTTCTTTTTAAAACAAACTTTATCCATAACACAGTAGGCAGGGCTATCAAAGTCTTCTAGTAGAATACTGTACTGGTCTTTTGCTTGCTAAACCAGAATGGTCCTAGGCTGGCTTCCAGCAATTTTCGTTCCTTGAGCTAGATACATAAATGCAGCCCCAAAGGCATTCTTTTAAAAAAAAGCATATTTAAAATTAAACTGTACTTAACACTTAAATTCTATGCCGCCCAACCTCTCACCAAAAAAACCCACGTACCTGAATAAAACTGAATTCCCTCCAGTTTAAAGCATTGCTCACTGACGGGATAGAGGTGACTGCCAGGAGGGACAGTAAGCCAAGGCTCATTATGCCAAAGGAGATATACATTTCAATTCTCCAAACTTCTTCCTCGTTCCAAGAGTTTTCAATATTTGCATGAACCTAATGAGAGTAAATGTGAATTTCCTCTATTTGGCAGAATATTCACAGATTCAGCACAGTTCACTCTTGGCATAAGAATACATCATATATAGACATATTTAAGCTGTATTTTTTCAATTTAACAGACTGGGATGGAGAACCTATTACCGGATGGTATTGTGCCAGATGTGGGGAAAAGAGAAGGGAGAGTTAAATAAAAGGAGGACTAAGAGTCTCTCTTTCCTTGCATACATGCGAGGGGGTGGGTAAATCTGCCACCTACACTGTCATACATCACAGTTACAGGGAGTCTGGAGTCCCAAGACCAGGAATGCCAAGTGGTTGGTTCCAAGGTGACATAAAAAAAGTACTGGCAGTTAGACTTAGTTTTGAAGTACTTTTCTAAGTTGGTTTAAACTCGGTTGACTATTTTGGGTACATCCTGGCTTTAGATCAACTTAGAATCCAGGAAGAGAATTTCTAAATTATGTATCTCTTTTTCTCACTTGAAGAATATTTGTATGTAATTTATTTCTTTTTTCTTACTTTCTTTTCCTCAGGAAGCTGAGATTTCCCTATGGATAAAGTGAGACTGAACGCAAACATTTATTCTCTTGAATTGCCTCACTGCTATGCTTTTCCAACTGTCCTATTGCCTCATTCTTCTATAGTACTTTTCCAAATGTCTTTTCCTTACATTGATAATACATATATAATCAAGTCAGACTTGATTAACTCTGAATGTGTGGTATTCTCTATAGGGACTACTTTCAGAATTGTCTGTTTACATGTAAACAATAAAATTAGAGTATAAATCAAAGGTTGGACTCCCTGGGCTAAAGCTTTGATTTAAATAACTATCTATTCATGGATAACAGATTCTAACTTAACATAGTTTAACTCTGTCCAGTTCCAGTTAACCAAACAAACTTGGAATTAAAAAAAAAAAAAGTTAGTTCTGAGCCTTAGGCCCCTGGAACAATCATACCAACATCCCGAAAAAAGCCACAGAGCTCCTCTGTGGAAAAAGGCTCTTATTATCTTGTTTGATGTCTACACAACAATACAGAACAGCAACATACCTCGGTAGACCCAGAGCTTACAACCTGCACCTACCCGGCCTCCCAGTTCATTCATTCGTCCCACAGATAGACTTCGTGAGCACCTTACTAGGTGCCAGGCACAGTTCTAGGCATTAGGCATATATCAGTGAACAAAGCAGACAAAGGTCCCTCCTCTCATGAACTTACATTCCGATGAACTTACTTGCTGATAAGTCATGTTGAGAAACAAGTGTCTCTCTGACCTTCTCATTGGTAAGCAGTTTATTGTACATACAATAAACAAGGAAAACATAAAGTGTATCAGGAGGTCGTAAAGGCTATTGAAAAAAGTGAAAGTAGAGCAGAGTAGAAGGGCCTCAGGGAGGGGGAGGGTAAGGGCTGAGGCAGAAGGAGCTTGAAGAATTTAAGATGGTGTCCAGGCTCAGCCTCCGTGAGGGGCTGAGATCTGTGCAAACAACTCCATGCCCAGTGAGGGGGCTGGTGGAGCAGTTATCAAAGCCTTAGTATTCAGTTAAGAGAAGAAGGGTTTTACAGAGACAATGGCTTAAAGAACATCAATTTACTAATTTTTTTCACACTATTTTAGGTTGAAACTGTTGAAATAGGCCTAAGTACCAAGCGCTACATACTTGGATCATGATGCCTTGGTTCCTTATGAAATGCAAAAGCTCCCATTTGTTTTGGTGCAGTGTCCTCGCTGTCACTGGTAAATGCTACATCAAACAGCATCAGTGAAACCCCTCATGTTACATTTGCTGAATGGGAATCATTGAGGAAACTCATACTCGGCTCCATCATCAAGCTCCTTGGATGAAGCTTTGTGAGATTTTCGTTCAGAGCTGAGTGCTATAAAGGTTCGCGTCAGGAACTAAAGCTTCACCTGAGTGATTTCCTCCTCTTTTTGATAACAAAAGCCTTGTATATGTATGCCTCCTGATCTTGGCTTCCTATTTTGTTTTGTATTTTCAGTGGTTCTAATTTTATTGCATATGTTTACTGAGAATTGCCTATCATTTCACAGAACACGGCCAAATTAAACATTGAAATAACTGTTTAATGCAAAAAGCAATCATTGCAGTCATGACAAAAAAAAAGGAATGAAAAAACCTACTAACCCTTTATTTCTGTTCTTATTCTTCAAAGAAAGGGATAGCAGCAGCTTTTAGCCTAAATGATTTTGAATCGGCCACATAATTCTTATACAGAAACACTGTATAAAGAACAAATTCTTTCCCCTCCCTAAATATGCCAAAATTTCCATCACAAGGTCTGTAAAATTTGACACTATTTTAAATCTCACATTTTACAGATTATACTGATAAAGTATTTTACTAGTATCTGATGAATAACAAGCATGTTCCATACCTGCTGATAAGCCATGTTGAGAAACAAGTACCGCTCTGACCTTCTCATTGGTAAGCAGAGGCTGTAGGCAACATGGACCGAAGCGAAGAAAAAACTTAGTAATCCAAGCTGCTTTCTGCACTGTAACCAGGTCTCCAACCAAGGTGGAAATTTCCTATACTTGGTGCCGTAATAAAGCTGATAAGCAGCTCCCAGGAGACCTGCTAGGTATACCAGGGACAGCAAAGTAATGGCAACTATGGGCAAGGTTTTATTCACAATCTCAATAGGAATCTTGTAAAAATCACTCTGCTGGTTTCTAGCATATGGATGTATCACATCTCTGATGAAGGAATAAAGAAAGAAAAACGTGGCTAGGCTAATGGCGGCTACCACTGGCCCTCTCCAGAGAGTAAAGAGTCGCAGGGGTAAATTTTCAATCTCCCTGGCTGATGATAATGATCCCAAGTCAACAGGAATGAAATTCAGCTGACGGGCAAGTTCAATAACCTGTTGTCGAGCTTGAATATTGTTGCTGCATATATAGACCTGCGGCAAAAACAAAAGACTCATCAGTACTATTGTTTATAAAAATGGTGACGTTCACAAGGTCCACTTCATGTATGGAGCATGTGATGACCTCGAGTGATGCAAAAAGTTGAGATAAAGCATTTATTAACATATTAATCTATTTATTAATAGGTTAAAACAGTGTCATAGAAACAACAAAGTCCTTGCTACCTGTGATGATATGAAAATAAAATGCAGGAAAAACCGGCTGGAACCTGGGATTGGGGCATCTGCAGGGGAAGGAAGGAGGAGGAAAGAAAGGTTTCTAGAACGTGTGGTTCAGTAGCGGCAAGGTAAGGTCTAGGTGGAGTTCAGGGTGGGGTGGGCTCCCCAGGCTTCCGAGGACAATACCTTATTCTAAGACTGCAGTGATTCTGTCTAGTAGAGGGATTACAAGCGCTGTCCTTTACAGACATTCAGCAAGAGAGAAGATGGGCATGGACTTTGGATGGTTGAATTTGCAATTAAAAATCTCTAACTTATGTCACAATGCTGTACTATTTGTAAAATTTATCTTTGGCTTAGAAACCGATTCACCAGGTTATCTAAAAAACCATGAATAATCTCAAGTTATTATATTGCTTCATTGATCAGAATATGAAATTCTTTCATCTGTAAATAAGGATACTATACCTGTGTGGGGGAAAAATGGTATTATAAGGCTTAATTTAAACAGTAAAGCAACTGCCATTATCTAAGATTAAGGTGTTACTTCTATATAATGAAGTGACGGGTGGGGGTGAGGTTGGACTTTCAAACTACCTAAACCTCTTAGAAATATTACTGTAGTTGAAAATTCAACAAATACTTGTTGAGCACAAATTCATTGCTGAAGTGAGCCACCCTTACTTATGGGTAGGTCAACTCACTCAGGGCTCGAAAAATATTGCCATAAAGTCTCTGGGTAATGTTTGGGGAAAACAAATTCCTAAATATATCCCTGAAGATGTTTATATAAGGTCTCTGGAACAGACCACACTGAAATATTTGCATGCTAAAATCTGCATCATGCTGACAATGTAGAGCTCTTTGGATTATTAATCTTACCTAACGTTAGCCAGATGAATAACAAAGTCTATATTATTACACAAATTTTCATGAACTTCTAAAGTGGAGTGGGGAAGAATACCCATATTCCAAAGAAATAAAGAAAAGCATTCTAAATTAATTTATTACAGCTGTGACAATGCTGACCTTTTTTTATTTCTTGTAAAAAAAAAAACAAACCCTGTAATAAAATTTAACTATAAATATAACCTATAAACTGTAACATTTAAATTGAAATAAATTTAAAATTCATTTAATTTACAAACCTAAATGTATAAATCAAACATTCATAACAAAGGCAGGACTATGGAATACAAATGAAACTACTTCTGTAGCTCACTTTGAATTCAATTCCATATTTTTTGTAGTTTGTATTTTTTGTAGTTGTTAAAGAATTAAAATTACCACAATGATGGGCAAAGGATTAAATTTAGGTTTATCCCTAGTTTGTTTGGTATGTATCCATTCCTAAACTTTGATGGATATCCAAAAGAAAAAAGGATTTAGAAAGTATATAATCTTTTACTAGTCTTCCAAATTAAAGATTTGAAAGTGAATGGTTATCACGGTGATACAATACTTGAATTCATTTTCTAAGACACTGAATCTAAGGCATGAACTGTCTTTATGAACAAAAATAATAAAAGTACTTTATCATCATGCTCACCTCTAATGCATAACGACACCTTTAAAAATATTTAAGGTGCACTATTTTATGTGTTTACTTATAAAAGCTCTCGTTCCATAAAGGCATTGATGGAGCTCCCCATCTTCTTTATTCTCAAGTTGAGCTAGATAGAACCCATACCCTAAAAAAGAACCTAAGAAATCCAATCTACCTCCCCACACAGATTAAAATCTACACTTTAAATAAAACGAACTGCACTGTTTTAAATTCTACGAATAATCTTCATAAAATAAAAAGGCTCTTCTAAAGCATTCTTCTTGAGGATCATACTAAATAGTGTTTCTTACACAGATGGAATACTGTTACCAAATAGCTGCCAGGAAGGAGGAGGGAGGGGGGGCGGGAGAGAGGAGAGTTGGGGAGATAGACAGAGGTAGAAAAAAGACATGTTTCTTATTGTTTCTATTTTTGAGAAAGCCAGGAGAGACCCAACGCAATGTGTCCCATTATTCGTCAGCCAACTTTGCCCTTTCCTGAATTAGCTGGTTATGACAGGAAAGTCCAAGTAATTTTCTCAGCTTTCCACATTATTTTATAGGGATAGAAATGTACCCTTATAAGGTCAGGACATGAATTTTCAGGGGCTCATACACGGTTTTCAAAATGATAATCACTGGAGAGTGTCAGAATGTGGTTTTTAAATGTCTGACATTTGTTTCACTATATGAATACAAAATACCAGATAAATACCAATAAAATTGGGGATTAAGAAGTACAAACTTCCAGTTATAAAATAAGTAAGCCACGGAGATGAAAAGTACGGCAGAGGGAACACAGTCAATAGTACTTTAATAATGTTGTGCGGTGACAGATGGTGACCGCACTTCTCATGGTGAGCACCGAGTGCCGTACAGAATTGTTGAACCACCATCTTACATACCTGAAACTAATATAACACTGTATGTCAACTATGCTTCAATAATTAAATAAGAAGAAACTAAAATTTTAAAAATTAAAAAAAAAATACATACCTGCCGGCTGGCGTCCTTAGGTCCTAACTGAAGTGCCCAAGCCGAGACAACATTAAAGCCTTTGACAATCAGGGAATCCGGGAATAATGAAGCCAAATATTCAGCATTGGATTCTGGGTATTGGTTTATCCTCATATTATTGCTCACATCAATCAGGATTTTACCCACAAGCAGATGTCTCAGGTCCCAAAGGGAGGTGTAATGTTCTCTATGTATAGCAACAAATATTATATTTGTTTTTGTGAGAGCATCTTCATGATGAGTGACATCAACCACATGAGGGAAAAATTCGGAAGCAAACTTGGGATTTCTACTTCCTATAACCACATGATAGCCACACCTAATAAGTCGAATCGTTAGCGATTTGGCAAAATCCCCACTTCCAATTACACCCACAGTGACCTTCCTTGCATCTTTGATACCATTTATGCCATTCGGCAAAAAAGTTTCGCTAAGGTTCTTAGGGCTTCCCATCATAGAGATCGATTCCATGATACAGGCTCTTTCAAGATCACCAGAGAAATCCTAGGGGAGAGAAAATAAAATCATCAATTACCTATTACCAGGCATTCATCCACTTCCAGACATTATAATAACACCCCTCATTTCTAGAGGTAAAATATTTTGGCAAGCTATAAAAACCTTGAACCCAGCCAGACATAACTTGTAAGCTAACAAAGGATGTCAGAGTAGAAAAATGAACTGTCACAAAGTTGATATCCTAAAGTGGGGCTTCTAAAATTTTAATGTGCACATGAATCACCCGAGAATCTTGTTAAAATGCAGATTCTGATTCAGTAGGTCGGGAGTGAGGCCCGACAGTCTTCCTTTCCAACAAGGTGGTGCCAATGGCTGCTGGTCTCCTGACCTCTCTTCGAGAAGCAGAGCACAAAAGGCAAGAGACTGAAGTTTTCGCCTAGAATTTTTTAAAAAACACAGTTCTACCAAGTGATTACCCAGATCAGAGGCAGCCAGTCAGAAATGCCATTAGAGGTGGCGGGGACTGTGCTAGCATGTGAGGGTATACATGACAAGAGAAGACAGAAAAGCCACAAAAAAACCCTATTTAAAACTGGCTAGAATCATTCGGGGTGGAGTCTATAAATTATCCTAAATACCTCAATAGCTAATGAGTGACCTTATTATTAAATGACAGTAAGATAGACCAGTTAATAAAAAATGAACCCCTCCCTGGCATTTAAATAATATTTTAAGAAAAACAGACTTTAAAATATAACAGAGGATTAATTAAATACCACTGACTTCTATCATTCATGATAGAAGGGATATTTCTCAAGAAATGATATTTCTTGAGAAAGTTTTCCAATGAAAATGGGATTAGCAATGTTTTTATGGTCTTAAATTACACAATACTTATGAAATCTTTTTCTTCCCCTTTTGTTGGCTTCATAGAATACGATGCAGTTATTTTTCCTGAAAAAATCTGTCAAATTCTCTTTTACTTAAGTGACTAACATCGGAAATGTTGATATTTGTAATAACTTGCTCAAGAAAACACATCAGATGGCCATGAATCAGTGTCGCTGTTGGATCTGAACAAAAAATACTCTTCCGTTCCATCCCCATTGTACAATTTCTCTTATGCTTACAGCGGATGTGGGTCACCACAGAGGATTTAATGGATTTTACAGGAACAGGTAGAATGCTTCAAAAAACATGTTTTGGGGTTTTTTACGAAAGTTAGAATTTAGACTAGACACGGAAAAACTCAACTTTTTACCCTACAAATGGATCACAATGATCACAATGACTCCAAAAAACCTGTAAGTTCATCTTTAGAAAAACAATATTACCTAATACTCATAAAGCACATTCTATGTACCAGCTGTTTGTGCTGTTTGTGTTAACAGACTGAACCCCACGACCGCTCTATGAGATAGGTGCTAATATTGTCATGCCCATTTAGAAGATGAGGAAACTGAGGCAAGCAGAAGGTAATTAATTAATATGTCCAAGGTGATGAGTGCGAAAGTCGGGGAGCCAGGATTAGAGCCCAGGCAGTCCAGCTAAGGCCCGTGTCACTTTGGTGCAGGTACAGAATTTAAGGGCTTTTTCTTTAGGGGGTGGGGGGACAAGCTGGAACAGTGATGGTTGTGCTCAGGTTAGTATATTCTCCTTCTCTGGCCGTGGTTCACTCCTCAGCATTAGCTAGTGATCTTAATGTCTAACTCGGATCCTGGGAAAGGAGAAAATGCACTCTTTTTGAATCTATTACACGTTTCATTTCACACTTTTCAAGACGGAAGGGGTGGTAATTATCTGCTCCCCATGCACTCAGAAGACCAGGCAGAGGTCAGAGGCGCTGGAGTAATACAAAACATCAACATCCTCTTGGAGAGATCATGGGCTATCTTAGGAATCAAGAGGAGTTAAAGGAACCAGAAGTCATTAAATTAGTGCTCATTTCATTCAACGATCCAAGGTGACCTGGCCAACATACCCCTAATCATATATGTTGCCTAAGGGGGAAAAGAGTTACTAGACTCACACACAGGAACCCAAGTGTCCTGCCTATATCCCAGTCCCGAGTTCTGAGTAGAGATTGTGGCATCTCCCAAATTGCCCCATTGGCTTTCAAACACACAAGCAAGAGCATGAAGCTTGCTGACTCTGCCTGGTGCTCTGGGAGTCACAGAGGATCCCATCACTTGAGTAAGTGGAGAGGCAGAATTGTAGTCAGAGCTACTAAAGCAGTGGTTCTCAGCTCTAGCTGCACACTGCAATGACCTAAGGAGCTTTAAAACACAGTGATACCTAGTCACCTCCACCCAGATTTGTGTTTAATTGGTCTGGAGTCCAGCTTGGGCATCAGGATTTTTTTTTTAAGATCATCGGGTGTTCTAACGTGGCCACGTTTGAAAACAACTCTACTAAACGATTCAGGATTCAAGCCAATATTTAGTTTGCTATTTGGAAATAACAAATGTGGCATTTTGATCCTCATTTATGCTCATTTTTGCATTGTTGTAATAATGAAAAATAACACTAGCCAGAGAGTAACAGTTGCCCCGAATGCGGGAAGCTGAGGAACATGTGTGCTGCCCCGCCCCCTCTCCTCCTCTGGCAGGAGCAGTGTCAGAAGGACCACTCACTATTTTGCAATATCCCTTTCCCCGCTTTCTGGAAAGGTCAGTACCACTCCTTAAAATGTGTCATCCCACTGCACAGCATACTTTGTTCCTGTTGTTTCATAACATCCAGAATGGTCATAACATCCCAGAATGGTCCAGCAATGGTATCTTTTCTTTCTGTCTCACAAGGGACTCCAGCTCTCCAGGCATCAGAGGCCCTGCTGATTGGAGTGGACGGGTTTCCAAGTGGACTGACTTGCTCTAGAATGCTGCCTACCAAATTTCCATGTGAATATGAGATCTTGTTAAAATGCACATTCTGATTCTCTACGTCTGGCGTGAGGCTCAAGATGCTGTTTCTCCCAAGCTCCCAGGTGATGCCCCTGGTCCTAGTGGTTCATGGGCCACACTTTGACTAGCAAGGCCCGAGTCTCTCTACCTTTTCATTTAATGCTATTCCCAGGTAATACAGACGAAAGAACTGAGAAGACTATGGCATTGAGGGAAAGTTTTGTTTTTGAGGTATTGAGGAGGAAGGACAGGCTGAGGCTTCTGAAATCTTGTTTTCTGAGTCTGTTTCCTCTGTTACATGGGAAACAAAGAGGTTGTACTTGACGCCTGCAGTCCAATACTAAAACCCTTTTGTTTCCAAGTCTTAAAGCTATATAATAATAGTAATATCACTTTATATTTAACACTGTGACACTTCAACTTTATGAGCTTGATTTAAAAGTGTATTTAAGTAGCACATGGGTTCCTTGAAATTTCAAGGTCACAGTTTTCTTGAATGGCCATCTGACCTGCTCTTTGCATTTAATACTTCAAGTATTAAATCATCAGGGTCAAAGAACTGGATTATACTCAGCTACGTGGCCTCCTAAGATTTTGTTTAGAAGGGTTTCCTTGACATTCCTCTGGCTGAATGGCAGCTGTTATGCTATATAAATAGAACCTAATTTGTTTCACATATAAACATCTAGGGCATTAATTTGTCCTCAGAGATCTGGATGACATCTACAACCTGATGATTTAGATAGGTTATCAAGAAACTGTAATCCCCCAGAGCCACAAGGATGGGGTAGGTGTATTTTTGACTTTGCAAGGCCACATCTGAACCTTTCTTCTCCTTTCCTACAGACACTCAGCTCCTCTGAGGCTCGTGGCACCTCGTAAAACCTCCCTCTAAGCACTGTTGTCCTCTACAGACTTCTAGCTTACTCTATCACTAGTGACTTTGACAAACATAGTCTTACACACAGTCTTCCTCTCTGGGCCAACCAACAGTTGTCATCCTTCTCCAGGATGTCTTCATTCAAATGGATAAGGCGTTCAACCTCATGGCCTCTTGTTTCCATCAGTCATTCATCAAAAACAATGAATCTCTGCTCCACCCCACTCAGTCATTCACTTTCTGACATCTCCAAACACCATCTCGGAGCCTTCCAATAATCTTAGTCAAAGAGTTGCAGTGATAATTCAAGTCAGCGAAGAAAGCTGATGCACTGATCCACTCTTTTCTCACTCTCCATCAGCCTCCTCCTGGTTTCTCTTTACCCACCCTAGATTCCACAGCATATAGTTATGGTCACTTGCTTAAAAAGATCAACTCTTGTTAAGGACTAAATGCTTGTGTTCCCACCCCCACCCCCCACCGCCTGCCACCTTGAATTCTTATACTGAAATCCTAACTCCCAATGGAAAGTATTAGAAAGTGTGGACTTTGGAAGGCGATTAGGTCATGAGGGTAGAACTCTCTTGAATGGAATTAGTGCCCTTATAAAATAGACCTTAGAGAGCTCTTTCTCTCTTTCTCCCAAGTGAGGACAGCAAGATGATAGTCTATGAACCAGGATATGGGTCCCCACCAGACACTGAATCAGCCCTGTAAATAAGAATGCAATAAATATTCTTTGTTGTTGAATGTATCAAAAAAATGTGAGGACCAAAAGACATGTAATAGGTCTACAGGTAAGATCCCTCTCTTTGCTGATCAAGACATGGCAGGCCAAAGTAAGTGATATGTCAATGTCATGGTTACTGGCTGAGCACTGAATAAATGCCTCTCCTGATGTCCTGATTGTGTCCTTTTTGGAAACTGCAGTCCTACTCTTTCCAACTTCTGAGGTACCCTCTTTCTCACCTTTCTTACTCATTTATGATCCTTTCTTTAAAATTGTATTTGCCTTCATCTGTGCTACATTTTCAGTATTAAAATATAATTACGCTCATTCACTACAAGTATATTTCCCATGTCACCAGTAAAACAAGAAGTGGCTTGAATACAGCTTTTCATTTCCTTTTTGTATAATTAGCTCAATTTATCATTGTTTATACTGTCTCAACCACCCCCCCCAAAAAAGACTGACTAGCTAAGTGAAAGAAACCGCAAACCATTTCTAAATAGCCTGCAAAATATCTAGGATGGGTATTGTTCTTCTGTAAATAGCTTTTAAGCTTGGAAACAAGAGAGGGAGAGATGCAAGGTAAAAAAAAAATACAGACTCACCAAAAGAAAAAGAATAAACAGAGGAGATCAACACAACCAAAAAATAATAAAAGTGGAAAGACTGTGTGGGGGGTGGGTCTGGGCAGGGAGGCCGGGAGGAGGTGTTTTGGAGAGAATTTTAAGGGTCCCCAGGAGTGGGGCTGTTACTAGGACTCAGTCTTAATCCTGAGGGTGGGGGAAGGGGCAGGAGTTCAAATTCTACTTCTCCCAATTTCACCCACCACAGTGATGAGTGATAATTAACCATGGCCCGGAATAAGTTTTTCCATCTAAAAAACGAACTGCCTGAGGAGTAAAAACTGACACCAATCCTTCTCCAAGGGGTGGGGAAGATAATAAACGGAAATCTCTGGACAAAATTTTATCTCTCTGCTCTATTTTAAGAGCAAGATTTTTAGGGCATAATTTTCAACAAGTTTTGGCTGTGGCTGAACACGGGGCTCAAAGATAATTTAGGACACTTCAAAGAAGAGGCCAATTACCTCCTAACACATAATGGCCTTAACACACCAGGGTCGCATAATTGGCTAATAAACAAAATGACTACTAGAAATACTTTTTCGCAAAGCAGCGCTGCATGATATTCTGTGAGACGCGCTGCCTGAACCCAAAGTGGTAGCTAGACTATTAGGAAGGCGAAGGTAACCTGCCCGTCCTTTTCCTGTGGGGCACATCCTACCTGGGACGGTGTCTCTCCCGGCCTCCCTTCTCCTGGGCCCAGCCTCAGGACTTTCTGGGGAGCTCGCGGAAGACCAAGAGGAGTAGAAGGCGCAATCGGTGGAACAGACACCCTTCCCCCGCCTTCCCACTCCCCACCTCCCGGTGCCGGGAGATGAGGACGGACGCCCGCAGAGGGCGCGGAATCCGGGGGGGACCCAGGCAGCGTGTGGCAACGACTGCATCTTGACCCTCAACCCCGCCGCCGCCACCTGGTCTCGCGCTCCTCCCCGACCCGCTCACCTCTGCGCCCCCCACGCCGGGCTGGGGCGAGCCTGGCGGCTCTCCGGGCGCGGCGCCCACTCCCCCAGGGGCCCGCCCGGGCACCAGGGCCTAGGGACCGCGCCTCCGTCGGGCGGCTGCAGGGTGGCTGCCGCGGCTGTCGAGCTCCGGCTGCTTCCCCGCCTCCCCAAGCTGGATCGCGTATTGCGGGAGAGAAGGAGGAGGAGGAGGAGGAGGAGGGAGGCGCGCGGAGGCCGGCCTCGCAGTGACGCGCCGCTAGGGGCTGCGCGCGGGGAGGGCGCGGAGCCCCAAGCGGGCCCGGGAACGCCGACCGGAGGGCCGCGCGGGTGGAGGTGGGGAGCGGTGCGGCGCCCGGGAGCTCGGAGGGGCCCGGGCGGGGGGTGCGCAGAGAGAGCTGGGGGAGGACCGTGAGTGCCGACCCGGGCAAGCAGTGCCGCGGGGAGCTCGGCTGCTTCGCCCCGGCTTTGAGTATTCCCCGGCCTGGGAGCTGCGGAGTATTCGCCGCTTGCCTGCGCCCCGCACCCCGCCTTCAGTCTCCGCAAGGCTCCCCCGTGGTTCCTTTTGAAGCAGCTCTGGAAAAATCAAGCCCACTTCTCTACTCCACTGCTTTTGTGCTGCGTAGTCGCCTTTCCACTCTACACTTGGCTTTTTATTACGCCGTGCCCCACCCCCTCCCCGATCCCTCTTCCATACTCTCAGCTCCTGACAAGTCTCCAAGAAACTGCGCTTTTTTTTCCTCTACGTGTTCTTTTCCTCACCTCTACCCACCCAAACCATCTTTTGTCTGGATTGTGTCTTTGTAATAAAATGTTTAGAAATTCCCTTTCATGAACCATGTTTTAAAACTCCCTCAGATAGAAGGATCCTCACAGCCAGCAGACTGCAGATTAGTCTGTTGACTTTGACCTTCACTCTAGCCGGTGCCAAGCTAGCTCCGGAGTTGGGGAACAGAGAGTTAGACCGGGAGTCAGGAGAACTGTGTTCCTAGGAAAGCCACTTCACTCTCAGGGCCACAATGGCCTTGAATGCCCAGGGGATCTCTGAGCTTTAAGGGCTCTGGCTTTGGGATTCTGTAAATTTTCTCCCTGCAGATTACCAAGTAGTCATGACTCCTTTATGTTTTGCAAGAGATCTTTAATCTCACAATGAAAATCAATTTAGGAAAATTCTCAAATTGGGGTAAAATTTTTTATACGTTAGTAAATTGTCATCTAGCAAATTAAGTTTAAAAATTATCTCTCCCTGGTGGTTTATTAACCAGGAAAAAAAGCCGAGAAGGGGGTCTTGGATCGATCATTGGACAACTGCACTTTCCCCTCTGTAGTCCACTCAGATTAACCTTTGCAAATGCTGCTTTGGAAATACATTCTTTGTTTGACTTGACATTTGCCCCCTCCCCCACCGCCAAATATTAAGGTTTCAAATTTAGGCATAAGCTAAGCTTGTAGTGATGTTGAGGTATTGACAGCTGGTGAAATTCTTTCCATTTTGGTAACTGGAAAAAAAATAGTTAAATTTTATACCAATTTTTATTTTTTTTACTTCAATACTACTCTCAAATAATGAAATTAGCTTTTTTTTTTTTTTTAGCACTTCTGGAGGACAAGTAGAGGAAATTCATGAGTCTTAGTAGTTAATGAAAAGTATGCAGCTTTCTCATTTTTTTAAACAATACTATTATGTAACTTTCACAAAAGGTTATTTAAAAATATAGCACTTTCTAACTATCCTAAAACTTAAACATGTAAACCATTTATTTTATTTTAAATTATTATTTATTTTTAAAGATTTTATTTTTTTCAGTAATCTCTACCCACAACTTGGGGCTCCAACTCAGGACCCAGAGATAAAGGGTTGCATGCTTTACTGACTAAGCCAGCCAGGTGCCCTTAAACTGTATATTTTAGATTTTTTTAAAGATTTTATTTATTTAATTAATTGACACACAGAGAGAGACAGCGAGAGAGGGAACACAAGCAGAGGGAGTGGGAGAGGGTGAGGGAGAAGCAGGCTTCCTGCTCAGCAGGAAGCCTGATGCAGGGCTTGATCCCAGGATCCTGGGATCATGACCTGAGCCGAAGGCAGTTAAGAGCCACGCAGGTGCCTCTATTTTAGATATATATATATTTTTTTTATAATTTTTTTTTAAAGATTTTATTTATTTATTTGAGAGAGAGAGAATGAGAGAGAGAGAACACATGAGAGGGGATAGGGTCAGAGGACGAAGCAGACTCCCTGCCGAGCAGGGAGCCCGATGCGGGACTCAATCCTGGGACTCAATCCTGGGACTCCAGGATCATGACCTGAGCCGAAAGCAGTTGCTTAACCAACTGAGCCACGCAGGTGCCCCTATTTTAGATATTTTAAAAAGCTATCTTAACAGTGGACCATCCCCCTCCACCAAAACAAAAAAACAAAAAAGTTCTATACAAAATCACTTAAAAGAGAATCAGTCAATAATTTGCAATTTCCAGAAGGAATATCTGCTTTTCATATTTGAACTATTAAAAGAAACAAATATCCTTGATGGAAAAATCTCATGTTGCCAAATGTGTCCCCAAAATTGTTGGCATGGATGCATACACGATTCCTTTCAGCTTATTCCAAGGTAACTGAAATTTTTACTACTGTTTTTGAGTTGGAGTTTTTAGAGTATAAAAATGATTTTTGCAAGATTTTTCCAGGTCATGATGTGCTCTCTGAGAAATCTCTACAGTTCCTGAAGTAGTAACTGATTCCACTGAAGTGAAGCAGTAATTTCATTAAATGGATCTCTAGTGGCCTAGAGGTGTTAACACATTTTTTTTTCTTTGAAGTTAGTTATTATACAATTGAGTAACTTTAGAATGGTAGTTCCCAAAGTGTGTAACTTAAGCACTAGTCCCTGAAGATGCTCCTCCAATAATTCATTCACTACAAAAATATTTATTGAGCTCCTACTATATCCCCTGGCTGGGGCACTAGAAACAATGGTGAAGAACACAGATACATTTATCCTGTTAGAATTTATAGTTTTAAACACTAAACAAATCACTAAACAAATGCAAATAAGATTTATACAAATTTGTTTATGCACGTAAAATAAGTATAAATCATGATGAAAATAACAGACTTTGAGATAAATAATAAGAACTTTTTTCATTTTAGAGATTCATGATGAATATTAATGGATTAGAGCCTCAGAATTTCTACCATAAAGACATTTACCTAATCTATTCCCCCAAATTCCCATATTTGTTTTGAGCACTGAAGTATTGTGAAGAATGCTTATTCATAAAATAGAACCATTTTTTCTGAAACTGGTTTTTTGAAACCAAGGGATCCAATTTGTCAATGCACATTCATATATTTTAATAGATTCATAAATATACATATAATCCGTTCAAAATAGGTTTTGTTTGAAGACAGATGACATAGAAACATTTATAAGTATATTCATATATTTTAATAGATTTATAAGAATAAATATATTTTTATGGATATTGTCTGAAGAAAAAAATGACAGAAATACTTATAAATCTATTACAGTATATGAATGTGCATTTGTATAAGATAGGTATTTTGTAGTTAACATTGTTTCATGAATATATTTCCATGGTCTAGATACTTATAATTCTTAATTACTACATGGTCCATAATATTGAAATACAGTCATTTTGTATCCTAAGCTTTAGGAAAATAATTTTATGATGCTTTTACTAGTATAACTAACACTGCTTTAGTTTCTTTGAACAATTTACTTTTCGGGGTAATAAGTGGAGGGAATATTTCTTTATTAAACATTTAAAATGTGTACTGAGGGGCGCCTGGGTGGCTCAGTCGTTAAGCGTCTGCCTTCGGCTCAGGTCATGATCCCGGGGTCCTGGGATCGAGCCCCGCATCGGGCTCCCTGCTCGGCGGGAAGCCTGCTTCTCCCTCTCCCACTCCCCCTGCTTGTGTTCCCTCTCTTGCTGTGTCCCTCTCTGTCAAATAAATCTTAAAAATAAATAAATAAATAAATAAATAAATAAATAAATAAATAAATAAATAAATAAAAAAGATGTGTATCTATCTATCTATTTATTTATTTTTTAATGTAGTGTTCCATGATTCATTGCTTGCATATAACACCCAGTTCTCCATTCAATACGTGCCCTCTTTAATACCCATCACCAGGCTAACCCATCTAAAATGTGTATTTTTTTTAAATGTGTATTTTTTAAAAAGATTTTAAAGTAATCTCTGCCCCCAATGTGGGGCTTGAACTTACAACCCCAAGATCAAGAGTCGCATGCTCTACTGACTGAGCCTGCCAGGCACCCCTAAAAATGTGTATTTTAAAAACTTCAGTGCAAGCAGATTTGATTCTGGATCTCATGGATGACCACCTTATAACTGAGTATAACCATGCAATTTCTGAGCCCATGTTTTCTGCATTTATTATTGCATTGGTGTCTAGCAATATCACCCTGTCAAACCTTAATGAGAACTCTTACAGCTGAACAAAAAAAGGACAAAAAATCCAATTATAAAATGGATGAAGGATTTCAATACATACTTCTCCGAAGAAGATATGCAAATGGCCAATAAGATCATGGAAAGATGCTCAACATCATTAGCCCTTAGAGAAATGCAAATCAAAACCATGTGAGATATCATTTCACATCCACTAGGATGGGTATAATTAAAAAGTCAGTATCACAATATCAAGTGTTGGTGAGGAAGTGGAGAATTTAGAACCCTCTTACATTGCTGTTGGAAATGTAAAATGATGCAGTTACTTTGGAAAACAGTTTGACAGCTCAACGTCATGATGTTGAAAACATGTCTACAGAAACACTTGCACGAGGGACGCCTGGGTGGCTCAGTCGGTTAAGCGTCTGCCTTCAGCTCAGGTCATGATCCCAGGGCCCTGGGATCGAGGCCCACATCGGGCTCTCTGCTCAACGTGAAGCCTGCTTCTCCCTCTCCCGCTGCTTGCAGCTCCGCCTGCTTGTGCTTTCTCACTCTCTGTCTGTAAATAAATAAATAAAGCCATTAAAAAAGAAAGGAAACACTTGCATGCAAATGTTTATTGCAGCAATTTGTAATAGCGTAGAAAAAGTAGAAACAACCCAATTACCAGTTCTATAAATTAAGGAATGTATAAATGAAAGGTAGTCTATCCATATAAGGAATATGATTCCCATGTTATTATAAAAAGGAATGAAGTACTGATACAGACAACACGGATGAATCTTGAAAAAGTATGCTAAATGAAAGCTGCCAAACACAAAAGCCCATATATTTTATGATTCTATTACATAAGATGTCCAGAATAGGCAAACCCATACAGACTGAAAATAAATTAGGAGTTGCCAAACCACTGCCTGGTGGGGAGGAGAATGGGGAATTGCTGCTAATTGGGGGGAGGGGTTCTTTTGATGTGATGAAAATATGCTGGAATTAGGTAGTAGTGATGGTCGTACAACTTTGTGAATATACTAAAAACCACTGCGTTGCACACTTTAAAAGAGTGGACTTTACGGTATGTGAATTATATCTCAATAGTAAAGAAAAAAGAGTAA